GACAAGCCTCTCTGATGGGCTGGGCACCTATAGATGCTTTGCATGTAGTGTCTCATTAAATCATCATACCAATTCATGAGGTAAGAACTATTAGCCCACTCTGTCTGACACTATAGTTCAAAAGGCCAACGACAAGGCTGAGGACAGATTTAGGACAAGAACGCGGATCTCTGGACCTCAGAGTCCTTATCCCACTTTATATCCCAACTGTCTCGGAGAGCAGACACTCTTCCTTTCTCTCTCTGCACAAATGGATCCCCACCAGCCAGGGAGAACTTCTTCACACCCACCCAGAGCTGGAATGCCTGCTCTGCTTGGCAACTATCCCGTGAATCTCAGAGGAGGTTTGAAATCCTAGACAGAAGTAAACACTTAACACGAGGAAGAAACCAAATGCCTAGCAGCAAGAGGAACAGAACCCTTAGCTTCCCTGTGATAGTCACTTTGTGCTTTAGCTCACAGGTCACAACAACGCTGCAGGGCGATTCTGTTGTTACACCCATTGCACAGATGAAAAGACTGAGGCCTGAATGGTTAAATGTGCTTATTCAGCTCAGAAGTGGCAGAATCAGGATCTGAACCAGGCTTGTCTGTGTCTAGGGCCCACACTTTGCTCAGGTCACTGTGCTGCTTTCCATCTATTCCCATTCCGTTGAGAAGCACAAACAGTGTCTCCAGTGAGGCGACATCCTTGCCTGGGAGATAGAGCTGCTGAGCAATTCTCTAACGCAGCCTTGGGTTGCATAAGGTCATGCAGGGGTGTGGGGGTGCCTCCAGGGGCCCCAGAAAGTCCCAGGGAACTAGGAAGAGGCAGACAGACTGCCACCCCACCTCCCAAGCTTCCTCCACTGCTTGCCAGGCTGCAGATTCCAGGCCCCAGGGGGAAAGATGATTTTCCAAAACAGAATATTAGGTCTTAGCAGGCGTCCACACCACAACTCCCAGGGCCCAGCGGTAACTGTGTAAATACTCGCACATTCAACTCTCCCTGAACTGTTCTTCCTCCTTAGCTGACTTCCTGGTTTTTTCAACGGCATCTGCCAAGTCACTGGGAAAGCTGATGCCCCCATCTGCTTCCATCCCATCTCTGCTGGGTTCCAGGTGGGATTCTGGAGCCTGTCCCCACCCCCGGACTGTGGGGTCGTGGCAGGGGAAACAGCATGAGAGATGAGACCCCACTGAGCACATCCTAGCCTGCTGTCTCCACCCTGAGCTTCCCCGCTGATGAACCTCTCAGGCTGCTGCAGACCCAGGCTCTCTGGGCCCTGCCTTCTCTGACTGACATGTTCTTGAAGACTGAGCCGAAGGTTTGCCCTGAATTCCCCAGGGCACATCGTGAGACTCTCCTATCCCAAGACTGCTTAACATGGCCCTTCCCTGCCTTCCCTCCACCTTTGACAGAGCCGGAGCCAGAGGGACCCAAGTCCAAACTCTGCTGCTTCTCCCCTCCATGGACCGATCCTGAGCATCCCATGCTAGTGTGGGCTTCGGTGCCACACCATGATGGGTACAGTCCCCTCCCCTCTCCCAAGTGTCCACTGGAGTGCTGAGTAAATGAGATAACATCTAGAAAGCACTTTGTCTACTGGTTGGCATCTAGATGATCCTTCACAGACCCAACATGTATGTGTTATTATTTTTAGTATCACTCCCCCCAGAATACCCTACTGGGCCTTACTCAGTGCCTCTGCCCACAAGGCTAGACCTCTCTGCCCAAGCTGGCTTACCTGGCAAGTACCCACCTGCCTTTTCACAACTCAGCGCAAACTATCCTCTCACCAAGTGTCTTCTAAACACCCACCCTCAGGCCCAGCTAGGGGAACAAACTACCCTTCCCTGTACAGCCCATCCCAGCACTGGCTCCTTCCCCAGGCCCGACACTCCCGTGTCTCCCCACCAGCCTGGGAACCCTGCAGGAGGAGGACTGGCGTCTCTGTCCTGCTGTCCCCAGAGCCCAGCACCGGACAGGGATTGGCACACACCAGACACTTAACAAAACAACAGTAATCACAGCTGGCTTTTCTGGAGAGCTTACTCTATGTATCTTCTTATAACCAGTATCACAAAGCTCTGGATGAGCCTTCCCTGTCGCTCCAGTTATACAGATGAGAAAGTCGAAAGGCAGCAGGTGAGGTGACATGTATATCCAGGGTCAAAGAGCTGGGTGCAGACTTGGGATCTGAACCCAGGTCTCTTAGGCTCCCTGGGCTTCCCTCGCGGCTCAGACAGTAAAGAACTCGCCTGCGATGAGGGAGGACCTGGGATCGATCCCTGGGTCGGGAAGGCCCCCTGGAGGAGGGCATGGCAACGCACCCCAGTATTCTCGCCTGGAGAATCCCATGGACAGAGGAGCCTGGCGGGCTATGGTCCATGGGGTTGCAAGGTGTTGGACACGACTGAGCGACTAAGCACACAGACATTCTCAGGCTCCAGGGGGCAAGCTCTTAACCTCTCCAGTTAAGAGGCTCAAACAGGAGGAAACACAGCCACAGCAGATGGCGGCTGGGCCTCGGGGTCCCAGGGAGCCTTGTCTTCAGGAACAGAACGGGCTGTGGCCTCGCTCATGCCTGGGTATAGAAGCCCTCTCACACGGCTCACTTCAAGACAGCACCAACCCCACCCTCTGGGGGACAGAGCCCTTCTAACAAGCTCCCAGGCGGTGTTGCTGATGCTGCCACCTCGGGCTTTGGTTCCTCAGGGTACAGAGCTGTGGCTCTCAAAGTGTGGTCCCTCAGATCAGCAGCATCAGCTGGGAGCTTATTAGAAATGCAGGTTCTTCAGCCCCTCCACAGACAGAAACCCCACGGGATGTACCCAGCAAGCTGAGGCTCAGAATTCTGAGAACCCACTGGTCTTGCATCACTCGTGTAAGACCCTCAGCTGTCGGCTCCCGGCACTCGCGGAGGCGGGGGAGCCGGGAGGTGAGCAGTGGCCTGGGCTCGGCCCCGGCTCTCCTCAGCAGGTCTGTGGCAGGCCCTCCCGTCTCTGAGCTTCAGAGTCCTCAAAGAGGGGATGGAGGAGCCGTGCCGCCTCTGTGCCAATGCTCCTGATTATTGCTGCGGTTCTCTATCACAGGGGCTCAGTGGTGGTCGATGTCTTGTGGACGTAATTAAAATCTTCCTTAAAGAGACAAAGGTAGGGACTTCCCTGGTGGTCCAGTGATTAAGAATCTGCCTTCCAAGGCAGGGAACATGAGTTCAACCCCTACTCAGGGAACTAAGATTTCATATAACCCAGGGCAACTAAGCCGGAGCACTCCAACTACTGAGTTGCATGCCCTGTGGCCTGTGCAACCCAACCAGAGAGGAGCCCACGCACCGCAACAAAGATCCATGTGCCACAACTAAGACCCAGCACAGCCAAAAACGAAGACAGACGGAGACGGGGGAGCTGCTAGAGAAACCACACATGACACTTCTGTGCTGGAAGGTCAGCGCTGAGGAGCGGGTGCAGATGAATGAGCTATTTAATATCAGAGGAGGATGCTAGTAGAAAGGAGAGTTGAATGTAGTCAAACGATTAACAAGAGATTACCATCTCTCTGTTGTTAACATCACCCCCTAAATCCTCTCTATCTGCACATCCTTCTACGGACAAAGATGCAGGCAGAGGTATCTGGGATGACCCTCAGGGCTGAGGTCTGGAGGATGAGACGGCAGGCACTTGCTGACGTTCCCTTTAAACCTTCCTGTGCTATGTGAATTTCTATAACAAACATACATAGCTTTTTCATCAAACAACAAAAATCATTACTTTAAAAAATAGCATTACAGGCATTTATATAACAATGAAGGAGTAGATGCAAGAAGCGTTAAAAGCTATTGTCTCGGGGGTGGGGACAGGGAAAGGAGGTGGTAAAAGCAGAGGGCACAGACATGTGTTATTTTGGTTTAAAAACTTATTAAAAATAAAAAGAAGTTCTGACACAGGCTACCACATGGACGGACCTTGAGGACATTGTGCTAAGAGAAATAAGCCAGTCACGAACACACAAATGATCACACTTGTAGAGCAGTCGTATTCAGAGAGACTTGGAGGAGAATGGTGGCTGCCAGGAGCCGGGTCAGAGAGGAGGGAGGGACGCTGTGTGATGGGCACGGTTCGGGCAGATGACAAAGTCCCAGAGATGCATGATGGTGACGGCCGTGCAGCAGTGTGGATGCATTTCATGCCCCTGAACTAGACACTGACAAACAGCTAAGATGACAAATTTTAAGTTATGTATATTCTGTGTGTGTGCTCAGTTGTTCAGTGGGGTCCAACTCTGTGCGACCCCATGGACTGTAGCCCACCAGGCTCCTCTGTCCATGGGATTTTCCAGGCAAGAGTACTGGTGTGGGTTGCCATTTCCTCCTCCAGGGGATTTTCCTGACCCAGGGGTCGAGCCCACGTCTCCTGCCTTGGCAGGTGGATTCTTTACTGCTGTGTCATCTGGTAACCCTATGTATATTTTACCACAGTTGGGGAAAAAAAACAAAGAGAGGGGAGTCGTAATGAAAAAAAGGAAGGTTTCGATATATGCCCGTGAGGTGCTGTTTTCCACCTGCAAATGGACCTCCATCTGTCACTTTCCCTCAAATTCTATCTATCGGAGGCAAGAGCAAAAGGGGTGGGACCACTGCCCCCTTGAGGCGCCGCCAGCCCGGGGACGAGCTCACTGTTGGTAGTGAGGGGCCGTGTGTGCACTACAGGGTGTTGGGCAACCATCACCTCTACAGACCAGCTCCAGGGGTCTCTCCCCATGCCTAGTTGTGACAATCAGAGATGTCTCCAGACACTGCAAATGTCCCTGGGGGATAAACTCTCCCTCAGTTGAGAACCCTGGGGAGATGCAGCCACGATGGGAACCGTGCCCCGGTGGACAGGGACAGACCCGGAAGGACCTCAGCATCCCATGGGAGTGCGGACTCATGCTCCCTCCTGTCCACAGAGGCTGGGCCAAAACCTCAGGTGGGCGGTGTGGGGCTCTGCCTTCCCACCTCGCCCTAGACGCCCCTTACCCAGCCGGATGTCCCCCTCGAGGGTCATGAGCACATTGCCAGCTTTCAGATCCCGGTGGATGATCTTCTTGCCGTGCAGGAAGGTGAGGGCTTCGAGCATCTGGCGGCAAACCACCTGAATCTGGGGCTCAGTGAGGCCTCTGTCCAGCTCTGGAAACAGAGAGGCGAACATGTCAGTTTAGCAAGCATTCAATGCAGGCAACTCCAAGCCAGGCTCCTGCAAGGTACAAGACACACACCAGCCACCAATGTGCGTTGAGCCCCTACTGTACCCCACGTACACTTCCGAGCACTTTCCGTGTCACCTGCTCTGGGCTCACAGTAAACCCGCGGACAGGCACAGCTCTTACCCCATCTCACAGGTGAGGGGGCTGATGCTCAAGGTCACACAGTAGGGGTCACAGATCTGAGACTGAAGACAGCCAGCTGGGCTCCGGAGCTCAGGTTCGCAAACACAACCCCTCTGAGGGGCAGAGATCCGTTCCGTGAGCAGGTCCTGAGTGTCAGGCTCCACGCTGGGTGCAGGGTCTCAGAGAGGCATGGAAATGACAAGCAATGCTGGGAACACGGTGGGCCTGGGGGCGAGGGAGGGCAGCAACCCCTTCTGCCTGGGGAATCAGGAGGCTCCCCAGAGGAAGAGGCATTCAAGCGGTGTGCTGAAGAACAGGCGTGTGAGAGGAGCAAAGCTGGCGCCAGGGCACTCCAGGAACCAACCAAAGGAACGGCCTGGAGGCGACAGGAGGTGGTGCTGGCGGGGCTCGAGACGCGGAGGAGAGGGGCCATCGCCAAAAGCCTCTGGGGCGATAGCTGGGGCCGTGGACGCACATGCACGCACATACACACACAACACACACACTCTCTACATACAACACAGTGTCCACTGGGGGATGGCAGGGCTGTCTTCTCTGAGCAGGTGGGGCGCGCAAACAAGAGTGTTCCTGCAGGGGGAGCAGCAGGTGCAAAGGACCCTCCCCTCCCCGCACGCAGAAGTGGAGGTTACAGGTCGGCAGGAGACGTGGAGGCTGCGTTTTCTTTGAAACACAATGGGCAGTCCAGGAGAGGTTCTGAGAGGGACAGAGATACAACCCGAGCTTCGCATTAAGAAGTCCCTCCTGGCACAGCAAGTGAAGCACTTGCAGGGGAACAAGAGTCGGTAGGGGCTTAGCGGGCAGCCACAGTGGCCCAGAAGGGCCGCGTGGCGGCCCAGGCTTCACAGAGGGAGGGTTCTGGGCTCGGGTCAGGGCGGTGAGAATGACCGGGTGTGTGGCCTAGAGGGCGCAGTGGGAGGAAGGGCTTCAGAAGAGTCAAGGGTGACATCCCGTGCTCATTGCTCTGTGAGCCATCGTGACTATTTATTTCTTTTTTCAATTTTTTGGGCATGCCAAGGGGCAAGTGGAATCACAGAAACCCAGGCTTTTGCATTGGAAGCCTGCAGTCTACACTGATGAACCACCAGGGCAATTCAGTTCAGTCGCTCAGTTGAGTCCGACCCTTTGCGACTCCATGGACTGCAGCATGCCAGGCTTCCATGTTCATCACCAACTCCCGAAGCTTTGCTCAAACTCAAGTCTACTGAGTTGGTGATGCCATCCAACCATCTCATCCTCTTTCGCCCCTTCTCCTCCTGCCATCAATCTTTCCCAGCATCAGGGTCTTTTCCAATGATTCAGCTCTTCACATCAGGTGGCCAAAGTACTGGAGTTTCAGCTTTAGCATCAGTCCTTCCAAAGAATATTCAGGACTGATCTCCTTTAGGATGGACTGCTTGGATCTCCCTGCAGTCCAAGGGACTCTAAGAGTCACTCCAATACCATACTTCAAAAGCATCAATTCTTCGGCACTCAGCTTTCTTTATAGTCCAACTCTCATGTCCATATATGACTACTGGAAAAACCACAGCTTTGACTAGACAGACCTTTGTTGGCAAAGTAATGTCTCTGCTTTTTAATAGTTGGTCATAGCTTTTCTTCCAAGGAGCAAGCGTCTTTTAATTTCATGGCTGCAGTCACCATCTGCAGTGATTTTGGAGCCCAAGAAAATAAAGTCTGTCACTGTTTCCATCATTTCCCCATCTATTTCCCATGAAGTGATGGGACCAGATGTCATGATCTTAGTTTTCTGAATGTTGAGCTTTAAGCCAACTTCTTCACTCTCCTCTTTCACTTTCATCAACATTCTCTTTAGGTCCTCTTCACTTTCTGCCATAAGGGTGGTGTCATCTGCATATCTGAGGTTATTGATATTTCTCCCGGCAATCTTGATTCCAGCTTGTGCTTCATCCAGCCCTGCATTTCACATGATGTACCCTGCACAGAAGTTAAATAAGCAGGGTGGCAATACACAGCCTTGATGTACTCATTTTCCTATTTGGAACCAGTCTGTTGTTCCATGTCCAGTTCTAACTGTTGCTTCCTGACTTGCATACAGATTTCTCAGGAGGCAGGTCAGGTGGTCTGGTATTTCCATCTCTTTAAGAAATTTCCAGTTTGTTGTGATCCACACAGTCAAAGGCTTTGGTGTAGTCAATAAAGTAGAAGCAGATGTTTTTTCTGGAACTCTCTTGCTTTACCGATGATCCAAAGGATGTTGGCAGTTTGATCTCTGGTTCCTCTGCCTTTTCTAAATCCAACATCTGGAAGTTCATGATTCATGTACTGCTAAAGCCTGGCTAGGAGACTTTTGAACATTACTTTGCTAGCATGTGAGATGAGTGCAATTGTGCAGTACTTTGAGCATTCTTTGGCATTGCCTTTCTTTGGGATTGGAATGAAAACTGACCTTTTCCAGTCCTGTGGCCATTGCTGAGTTTTCTAAATTTGCTGGCATGTTGAGTGCAGCACTTTCACAGCATCATCTTTTAGGATTTGAAATAGCTCAACTGGAATTCCATCACCTCCACCAGCTTTGTTCGTAGTGATGCTTTCTAAGGCCCACCTGACTTCACATTCCAGAATTCTGGCTCTAGGTGAGTGATCACACCATTGTGATTATCTGGGTCATGAAGATCTTTTTTGTACAGTTCTTCTGTGTATTCTTGCCACCTCTTCTTAATATCTTCTGCTTCTGTTAGGTCTATACCATTTCTGTCCTTTATTGTGCCCATCTTTGCATGAAATGTTCCCTTGGTATCTCTAATTTTCTTGAAGAGATCTCTAGTCTTTCCCATTCTATTGTTTTCCTCTATTTCTTTGCATTGATCGCTGAGGAAGGCCTTCCTATCTCTCCTTGCTATTCTTTGGAACTCCACATTCAAATGGGTATATCTTTCCTTTTCTCCTTTGCCTTTAGCTTCTCTTCTTTTCTCAGATATTTGTAAGGCCTCCTCAGACAACCATTTTGCCTTTTTGCATTTCTTTTTCTTGGGGATGGTCTTGATCAGTGCCTCCTATACAATGTCATGAACTTCTGTCCATCGTTCTTCATGCACTCTATCAGATCTAATCCCTTGACTCTATTTCTCACTTCCATTGTATAATCATAAGGGATTTGATTTAGGTCATACCTGAATGAAATAGTGGCTTTCCCTACTTTCTTCAGTTTAAGTCTGAATTTGGCAATAAGGAGTTCATGATCTGAGCCACAGTCAGCTCCCAGTCTTGTTTTTGCTGACTGTATAGAGCTTCTCCATCTTTGGCTGCAAATAATATTATCAACCTGGTTTCGGTATTGATCATATGTTGATGTCCATGTGTAGCCTTCTCTTGTGTTGCTGAAAGAGGGTGTTTGCTATGACCAGTGCGTTCGCTTGACAAAACTCTATTAGCCTTTCCCCTACTTCGTTTTGTACTCCAAGGCCAAATTTGCCTGTTACTCCAGGTATCTCTCAACTTCCTACTTTTGCATTCCAGTCCCCTATAATGAAAAGGACATTTTTTTGGGGTGTTAGTTCTAGTAGGTCTTGTAGGTCTTCATAGAACCGTTCAACTTCAGCTTCTTCAGCATTACCTGTCAGGCCATAGACTTGGACTACTGTGATATTGAATGATTTGCCTTGAAAACGAACAGAGATCGTTCTATCGTCTTTGAGATTGCATCCAAGTACTGCATTTTGGACTCTTTTGTTGACCATGATGGCTACTCCATTTCTTCTAAGGGATTCCTGTCCACAGTAGTAAATATAATGGTCATCTGAGTTAAATTCACCCATTCCAGTCCATTTTAGTTCACTGATACCTAAAACATCAATGTTTACACTCTTGCCATCTCCTGTTTGACCACTTCCAATTTGCCTTGATTCATGGACCTAACATCCCAGGTTCCTATGCAATATTGCTCTTTACAGCATTGGACTTTACTTCCATCACCAGTCACATCCACAACTGGGTGATGTTTTTGCTTTGGCTCCATCCCTTCATTCTTTCTGGAGTTATTTCCCCACTGATCTCCAGTAGCATACTGGGCACCTACCGACCTGGGGGTTCATCTTTCAGTGTCCTATCTTTTTGCCTTTTCATGCTGTTCATGGGGTTCTCAAGGCAAGAATACTGAAGTAGTTGCCATTCCCTTTCCCCGGTGGACCACGTTTTGTCAAACTTTCCACCGTGACCCATGGTGCAGGGCCACCCAAGATGGACCAGAGCAGTCTGTGATTATTTAGTTCTTGCTCCTGCCCAAGTTCCCTGGGCTGAGGTCAGCCCCGCAGTCCTGCCTGCTCGGCCCTCAGGCTGAAGGTTCCCAGGCTGGTGGGCAAGGGCACTGCATTGAGGCCGCCCTCTGGTTGGGGCTTCCAGGTTCCCCTGCAGCGCCCGGAGGAATCCCCAAGGTCAGATCCCTCAGGCTCAGTAAAAACAAATGTGCCAGCCAGGGTGGAGGCGCTGCCTGCAGTGTCCTGGGAAGCCCAGCTCCAGAGCAGGGCTCCTGAACCCGGGGTCTTTCTGGGTCCATAACTCCTTCCCGTCAGCCTCATCCTCGACCCCTGCATCTCCCCCAGCTGGGGTCCAAGCTCAGAGTCTGTGAGGACTTCAGGGCCACACAGACTGTGCCTGAACTTGGGCACTGCCTCTTACTGGCCGTGTGACTTCTGGCAAGTCACTCTATCTCCCTGCATCTTCATTATTGGTCTGTAAAATGGAATGAGGATGACATGAAGGCAGGGCTCCAGAGAGAAAGCATGTAAATGTCTCAGCATGGAGCACAATCAAGAAAATGTGATTACTATTACACTGGTCCTGAGATTATGCTGGATTGTCTGTAGCAAATTTCTAAATGTCAAAAGTATACCTGGCTCATGTCTGACTTACTTATATAGATGAAACAGGAAAAATCAAAGTGATGAGGAGGTGGATGATAACCTCAATGCCACCATTGTTTGAGCCTTTACAATACACCAGCACAAGGATAAAATGTTGGGTGCGTTATTTCATGAAAGATTTATAATAATCCAAAGAGGTAGACAGACATAACACAATTAAAAAAAATTTTTTTTGTTTTGATGTGGACCATTTTTTAAAGCCTTGTTATTAAATTTGCTACAATATTGATTGTTTTATGTTTCGGTTTTTTAGGCCAGGAGCCATGTGGGATCTTGACTCCTCAACCAGGGACTGAACCTGACCGGAAGGCGAAGTCTTAAGCACTAGATGGCCAGGAAAGTCCCTATGACTCATTTTTAAAGTCCAGTTTATTGAGATATAATTTACATGCAGTAAAATTCACCTTTTTGGGTGTACAGTTCTGTGAATTTTGGCAAATGCATTTAGTCACACCAACAGTACCACAGTCTAGATACAGAATACACACTTCCATCACTCCCCAAAGTTCCCCACTGTCCCCCTTTCACCCCCCAACTCCAGTTGCAAAGCAATCAGTAATTAGATCTGTTCCTACAGTTTCATCTTTTTTCTAAAGAGGCATATAATTGGAATCACACAGTATGGTGAATTTTTAAGATGAATTTTTGATTACACAGCAGTACATGAATATTTTCTTCCTAATAAAAAAAAGTTGCAACATTGCAGATGAGCCTAAGTCCCCTTTGAAACCACATCCCCACCTGCGCCTCATCCTTCTGCTCTGCAGGAGGGCTGAGGGCCAAAAATGTGTAACAGCTAGCAAGTCACGGCCAGCAGGATCACAGCAAGCACTGGTGTTAACAAACTGAAGCGGCCACACGGCGACGCGCCAGACGCATGCCCCCCTATGCTGTAAAGGGCCCAGCCCAGTGCCCCCAGCCCGGGCTCATCCTCTGCACACCTCTGCAAGGCGATGGGAGGCCACCTATAGCAGGAAGGCCCCCGAGCAGGGCGGGCATCTGCGGGACAGTCAGCCCCTGACCACAGAGCTGCAGCTGCTCCCCGGCCCTCACTAGGCCAGCCCGCCCCACCCCAGCTTCTCTTACCCACCGCGCTTTCTAGAACAGCAACGGCACTGTTTCTTTACCTGCTGCCACCAGCAGACAGCAAGCCGCCTGGGGCTGGACCAGAGTTCCATCCGGAGAACTGAGAGAAACGTGGAGATCCCCGCTTTTCAAAGAACCTCCCTCAGGGGTCTTATTTTCACCTCCTACAAGTGCTGTGGGGTTCGGAAGCGGGCAGCACACCTGTCTAACATCCAGACTGCTGGAGGGAGCCAGTGATCCACTCAAGGACACATGGCTCTTTGAACGAGAAGTTCTGGTCTTCTGAGTATCCTGCATCCTCTCCAGTAACCCAACCCCTGCTCCCAGATGCGGACAGAGAGGGAAGGTACTCAAACAGGCCACGGGCATTACTGGGGCGGGGAAGTGATGGATCCCAGTGCTCAGCAGAGCCGACCCCAGCACCGCTGTCCTGCATCAAGGAGGACTCACCCACGGGCTTCCCGGCTGTGCAGTGGTTAGGACTCCATGCTTCCACCGCAGGGGACACAGGCTCGATCCCTAGTTAGGGAACTAAGATCCTGCAAGCCACTCACAGAGGCCAAAAAAAAAAAAAAAAAAAACTCACCCAGCATGATGGCATCCACAGCTCCCCCAGGACAGAACTCGATCATAATCTGCAGAAAATACAAGGCAAAGTAATATGAGCAGCAGTGCCCAGCCCACAAATCGGAAGCCCCTGCAGGGCCTGCCCTGATCAAATACGTCTGCCAGCACCTGATGCTTTTGCTCTTCGGCCTCTCTCTCTCCTGCCCAGGGGTTTGTCCAGTCTGCCCCCACACCCCTGAAACCTGACCTCAGTTCTTACAGGAGGCTCTCACACCCAGGAGTTACTTGGGCACTTCATTTTTCAAGGGGAAAAAAACAAGTCATGGAAACCTGCAGCTTTAGTGAACAGCCTTTTCAGCCAAGCCTGCATCCTGCCCCTCTCCTCAGATCAGCCCTGTCTGTTCACTCATCCCCACCCACCAGCCACCCTGCTTCTTACAATCCAAAGCCGAGTCTCAGAGGACACTCCCACTCACACACAAGCTGGCCAAGGCCTCCTGGACGCCAGCACCTGTCTGCTGACTCTTCTCCATCACCCAGAGCCTGCAGTATCGGAACATCAGGTCCTTGAAGCCCAGATCAGGTAGAGGAATCAAAGGCCAGAAAGAAGCCGTCACTGACCGAGGCCTCACAGGTTATCTGATGCTCCTGAATGGAAAGCAGGTTTTCCTAATCTCCGGGTGATTCATTCATTTACTCAACACACACCCAACAGGTAAAAGGCCCTGGGAGAACCACCTGATACAGGCCTTCAAGGGGGTCCCAGCCCAGTGCAGCAAATGGAAAAAGCCAATTAGAGTCACAAGTGCCAGGCGTGCTGACACAGGCCCTACCCCCTGGTCTACAGCCATCTTCACTCTTTCTGGCCCACTCCGGGCTCCTATCAGAAACGGGAAGATGCTTTCTCTCTTTTTTTTAAGTGTAAGTAGAGATGGGTGGGGAGGGCAGAAAGTGACACAAACTTCAAGGCACTCCCAGCATCTCCTCCAGCTCCTGGCTGCTGCTGGGCCCTCTGACCCAGCTCGGCAGGGGCAGACACAGTGCCTGAGGGGCGCTCAAGGAGGCCCGTCGCTCTAATCAGAAAAGAAAACCTCAGCTGTGACCTCACTGGGCAAGAGCCAGCTCTCTGGCCATAGAAGGGAGGAGCTGCTTCAGTGTTTCGACGAGACCTTCTAACTTGTAGCCAACTTTCCAGAGGCTTCCTGGCACTGTAAATATGAGGATGCAGTGGTGCCTGGTTGGACCCAAGTCCCACGCCCACCGCTCACTAGTTGTGGCCTCGGGCAAGTGATTTCAACCGTGTGAGCCTGTTTTCTCAGCTGTAAGATGGGGCTGCTGATGTGCTTCCTCTTAGCTGGGCCCCACCTCTGAGCCACATTTAGGGGACAGGCCACCCCTGGAGGGCAAGCCGGGAGCGCTAAGCTGGGCCAGCGACACCAAAGGAAAGTGTGCCACGGACGGCAAGGCTGTGGCGCCCTCCCTCAGCCCAGGGCAGCAGACAGGCCTGCCACAGGCTGGGCAAGGCTACAGGCCACGGGAGGGAGCCGGGCAAGGGAAGACCCACCCGCTCACACACCACCACCTGCCAGGGAGGAAGGACCGGGCCTCTGATGCTCCCACAGTCACTCTGGTCCTGCTTGGCCTGACCCAGCTGCCCAGATTTACTCTTCACCACTGCGGCGACTACCGTCCCAAATAAACGTCATCAGAGGCGCGTGAACATGCTGCAACCTAGTGCACGAGGAAGCGGCACTTCTTTCTCCCACTCGCTCACTCGTGTGTCCACCGAACCAGCCGCCAACCAACCAGGCTTGTTCCTAGGGTCAGAGTGACCTGGACACGAGCATCAGCCTCTCGAAGCTCAGCATACCATTCTGCCTTTTAATAATGCTTGGCGCTACGAAAGAGAAGCCCAAATCCTACTCATCGCTAGAAAAAGCCCAGGCACAAGAGGCAGCAGTGGAAGAGAAGCCCAGCTTAGCCACCACACAAGGTCACTTACGAGTGCGTGGCCTGTAAGACGGGGGAATGGCAGGCCCACGGCCCACAGGAGTGACGGAGTCATCCAGGCCTTGACGGGCGACACGCGAGACTCAGCCTCTATGAGCTGTTTCTAGGATTTCTTTCTTGAGCTCAGGGGTTCAGGGTTTTTTATTGTTTTGTCTTGTATTTTGAGACCCCATGAAAGCCACCCTCTCACCCCTCAGAAAAATGCAAATACAAACAAATGTTTGTGTGCAATTTCACTGACTTCCTGCATGCCCTCAAGTCCCACCACCAAACCCAGGCCAGTGTTTTCACCAGCTACTGACTACACAGCCTTGGCAATGACCTACCTCTCTGTAAAATGGGACGACACTACCGACGCCCCAGAACTACCCTTAGGATCTGATGAGGTGGTAGGTATCAAGCCACAAGCCTGAGCCTCACACACAGAGGACGCAGGGCTGGCTCAGCTGTGTCCTCCTCTGCTAGGGGCAGCCGAAGAGGAAAAGGCGGTAGACTTGGCTTCGAGTCCTGCCATGGGTGCGTTCAGTCACTCAGTACTATTCAACTCTTTGCGACCCTTTGGACTGTAGCCCGCCAGACTCCTCTGTCCATGGGATTCTCCAGGCAAGAATGCTAAAGTGGGCTGCCAAGGCCTCCTCCAGGGGATCTTCCCCACCCAGAGATCAAACCCATGTCTCTATGTCTCCTGTATTGACAGGCAGGTTCTTTACCACTAGCACCACCTGGGATGCCCTCTGAGTCAGCTTCCTTGTTAGCTATGTGAACCTAGGTAAGTTACTTAATGTCTCCATGCCTCGATTTCTTCATCTGAAAATGGTACTAATCTTTTCTCCCCCCCAGTGTAATCAGACAGCCAATAACATGTCCAATACAAAAGCTACAACAACTAATATGCACTTGGTGAATCTAGCAAAGGAAATCTCTAGAAAGATCACACTTAGACCATGCTATTTAGGCTTCCTACAAAAACATGCCTTCCCAAAATTACAGTTCATCAACACTCCCACTGCCAGTATCAAAAGCCAGTATGAGAAGTGGTCAAACCTGGGCGGTTCCTGCATCTTTCAGTGAAACTGTCCCTTACACAATGCCCTTACACAAGGCCCCCATGACCCCTCCCCTCCCAGGTCAGCACTAGGAAAGTTGAAGCATTCTGCCAATCTGGTTTGCTTCCTCTTCTGCAATTTGAGACCTCCATGATGCCTTGCACTTCCCGTATTTTTTTACTTTTTATTTTCTTTGAGGCAAAGAATATGACTTTATTTGGAAAGCCAGCAGACAGAGAAGATGGCAGACTAATATCTCAAAATAGACATCTCCCATTATCATTATTATTCTGCGCCAGCTACTGGGAAGCTCTGAGTTTAGCTTTGGTTTTACTCACATGAATAAATGTACTGACTTTTCATTCTACACCAGGATTAAATCTACAATATTTCACAATCTGCATATGGACCCCAATGAAGTGTCTTTAGAAGATGACTATCCTGGAATCCACACTTCAAAATGTGAAGCTCTTTTTGAAACAGCAGTCCTTATTTGGAGTTAATCATAGCCTATGTCAGAGTGATGTTCTGTTTATCAACTTTTTGTAATTCTGCCCAACTGTACTCTCACATGTGGCAAAATAGAGTTTGGTTTTTCTTCTTCTCCTTTTTTTTTTTTTGAAAGTGGCTTTTTTCGGTCATTTTAGTTTAAAAAGTTTCATGTCTTGGTACCTTTTATATGATGTAAAAGAGAAAAATCATGTCTCTTTCATGACATGGTTCACACTGGGTTCCATTACACGGGTCTTAACGCTTCACATTTCAGCTTCTCAGTGGTAGGGTCACACAGAGCTTATAACATTAATTCTTAGCGCTTTTATAGAAATGCATGAGGTTTAATAAAATGATTACCTCAATAAATGTAATAATAACAATAAATAAAAAGAAAACAATTGTCTGAATGCCTTAGGATATTACTAAATAGCCTGTTTAGAAAAGAGAATGGAAAAATTACATCAATACCCACAGAAGGTTTCAGTTCAGTTCAGTTGCTCAGTCGTGTCCAACTCTTTGTGACCCCATGAACCGCAGCACGCCAGGCCTCCCTGTGCATCACCAACTCCTGGAGTTTACCCGAACTCATGTCCATTGAGTCGGTGATACCATCCAGCCATCTCATCCTCTGTTGTCCCCTTCTCCTCCTGCCCTCAATCTTTCCCAGCATCAGGGTCTTTTCTAATGAGTCAGCTCTTCACATTAGGTGGCCAAAGTATTGGAGTTTCAGCTTCAACATCAGTCCTTCCAATGAACACCCAGGACTGATCTCCTTTAGGATGGACTGGTTGGATCTCCTTGCAATCCAAGGGACTCTCAAGAGTCTTCTCCAACACCACAGTTCAAAAGCATCAATTCTTCGGCGCTCAGCTTTCTTTACAGTCCAACTCTCACATCCATACATGACCACTGGAAAAGCCATAGCCTTGACTAGATGGACCTTTGTTGACAAAGTAATGTCTCTGTTTTTTAATATGTTGTCTAGATTGGTCATAACTTTCCTTTCAAGGAGTAAGCATCTTTTAATTTCATGGCTGCAATCACCATCTGCAGTGATTTTGGAGCCCCCAAAAATAAAGTCAGCCACTGTTCCCACTGTTTCCCCATCTTGGTCTATTCTTGTATTTTCTACATTTTAATCAACTAATATGTTATAAAATTTCATATGAGAAGTACTCTTTAACAAAAAGTACTGGCCTAAAGTCACCCATGGCTACAGATGCATCTATTCATCTGAAAGGGGATGGGGCTGTGCCTATCCACAATTTAAGTCCCAGCAGTACCATGCCCAGAACACCCTTAATAGGGTTTTCTATATATAAGAGCTTATCTGCAAACAGAAATAATTTTACTTCTTGTTTGCAATTTGCATGTCTTTTATTTCTTTTTTCCTGACTAACTGTGCTAGCTAGTGCTTCCAATACTATGCTGAATAGAAGTGATAAAGGTAGGCACCTTTGCCTTATCTCTGATCTTAAGAGTTTTTTGTTTCTCACCACTGAACATATTCACTGTGA